TTCTTATTTGTATTAAAATTAGCATTTTTTTTTATGACTCCACCTTATAGAAGGGGCTAAACCAAACATGAATGTGATTATACATTATATAGAGGATACGGTGAAATATATACATGACTGACAGAACCAGGTTAACTTTCATGCAGGTTCGAAAAATTAAATTCCCAATTAAGAAAGGTCTTAGACTTTCACTATATATTTTAATTTTTATGCGAATTTATCAAATTTTAAACAACAGAGCTAGATATTTGTACTAGCAGAATATCAATTTATCTTGATAAACATACCAATATAAACTCAGAATAAGCATATTTAATTTCATAATATTTTTATTATGATTACATACATTACATACATGTATGCTAAATAAAAAGATACATAAAATCAAACTTAAAAAAAATTGTTTTATTCTTCAAATAAAGAGGATAATTATTTTTGTGATAATCTTGACCTTTAAACAAATACTAGTACAGTGTAGTATGCACATGTATAAAAATTTATATTATCCTGCATTTGTGCATTGGTTTACAAAAGCATGTGCCTGTAATGTCTGTTCACCAATAAGATTTTCATGTAGACAACAAATTAACTTCCAATAAACAAAGTTTTGTGAATGATCTATGTACATGCATTTCATGCACTCATGAAATATAAATATATGGCTGACCAGAGATTGTGTCAAATATTTCATCAATATATTGACATTCTTATTACTTTTATAGGTAAAATTAGAACATGTTCCTAGATATTGGTTGACATGGAAAATTATTCAGAATATTGAGAATATATAATTCTGTAATTTGTTCTAAAATACATTTACAGTATACAGGTAACTTTCATACTTGAATTCTAGCAAAATGAAGACAAATATAATTCGTCGAAATGACAGTGAAAATACTTTTTAAAAATAATTTAATTGTTTTAGGACATGATGCATTACTTATCATACAATGTTTTAAACCGCATGCATTTGTAACTAGATATCATTGAGATGTTGGCCATCTGGAAGGCCCCCGCTTTCAACAATGAACATGAAAATGTAAGGTAGTTAAAAAGGGTTTTCATGTATTTTGAAGAGGAACATTTGTGTAATACAGTAAAAGTCATTTAGTACGACTTCACGGATATTGCAAATTTACTAATATATGTCGAAGTTACCTTGTATCCCCAGTTATATAAATTTACTGGAATTAAGGGAAAAAATTATGCACCAAACAAAGATTTTAATATCAATTCTCTATAAAAATCAAAATTTTAAACAGGGTCGTGGACATGACATGTCTCCGATTTAGCTGAATTTCACACCATTTACTACAATTGGCATATCTGTAATAAAAATGATGTTATAGTCTAACTTTTCAATTTGGTTGCCATTGTAACAAGGATGTTATATTTAGAACCTCCTATTAAGCAAATTTTGCTCTGTTTTAAATTAAATTAGTGCACATTCAATAAATTAGTGTAAATTCACATGAAAATTATATTCTCTGAGCTCATATAACTTAAATCTCAGAAATATATTTCATTCAAGATATTTGAATGGATATTAAGCGAATTTTCATCGCAGCATTTAGGCTGTTAGCAAATTGGCAATTTGCCAGATTTGTCTTTTTAGCTCACCTGAGCCGAAGGCTCAAGTGAGCTTTTCTGATCAAAATTTGTCCGTTGTCTGTCGTTGTTGTCGTTGTCGTCGTCGTCGTAGTCGTTGTCGTTGTAAACTTTTCACATTTTCATCTTCTTCTCAAGAACCACTGGGCCAATTTCAACCAACTTGCTACAAAGTATCCTTGGGTAAAGGGGATTCAAGTTTCTTCAAATGAAGGGCCACGCCCTTTTCCAAGGGGAGATAATTATGAATTAGAGAAAAATTAATGGCATTTTAAAAAAATCTTCTTCTCAAGAACCACTGGGCCTGGAAAGATGAAACTCATATGGAATCATCCTCAGGTAGTGTAGATTCAAGTTTGTTCAAATCATGACCCCCGGGGCTAGGATGGGGCCAAAATGGCCAACCAAAGTTTTACATAGGAATATATAGGAAAAATCTTTAAAAATCTTCTTCTCAAGAACCACTGGGCCAGGAAAGATGAAACTCATATGGAATCATCCTCAGGTAGTGTAGATTTAAGTTTGTTCAAATCATGACCCCTGGTGCTAGGGTGGGGCCAAAATGGCCGACCAAAGTTTTACATAGGAATATATAGGAAAAATCTTTAAAAATCTTCTTCTCAAGAACCACTGGGCCAGGAAAGATGAAACTCATGTGGAATCATCCCCTGGTAGTGCAGATTTAATTTTATACAAATCATGACCCCCGGGGCTTAGGGGTGGGGCCAAAATGGCCGACCAAAGTTTTACATAGAAATATATAGGAAAATTTTTTAAAAATTTTCTTATCAAGAACCACTCGGCCAGGAAAGCTGAAACTCATCTTGAATCATCCTCAGGTAGTGTAGATTCAAGTTTGTTCAAATCATGACCCCTGGGGCTAGTTTGGGGCCATAATGGCAGATCAAAGTTTTACATAGGAATATATAGGAAAAATCTTTAAAAATCTTTTTCTCAAGAACCACTGGGCCAGGAAAGATGAAACGCATGTGGAATCATCCTCAGGTAGTGTAGATTCAAGTTTGTTCAAATCATGACCCCTGGGGCTAGGGTGGGGCCAAAATGGCCGACCCAAGTTTTACATAGGGATATGTAGGGAAACCTTTTAAAATCTTCTTTTCAAGTATTTCAAAGCCATGATTAGTGATATTTTTCTATTTAAATGGAATCATCCTCAGGTAGTGTAGATTCTAGTTTGTTCAAATCATGACCCCCTGGGGGGTTAAAATTCAAGCCCCCCCTCCAGTAAACTTTCAGTTCTGATCTGATATGTGCTTTTTTTCTAGCCGATGTGCTCAGGTGAGCGCTGTGGCCCCTGGGCCTCTTGTTTAGTCATATTCATTGGAATTTTTCACCATTTTGACAACTGATATATTTGTAACCATGTATCATTAAATAAACTATATATTCTAAGGTTTTTAATGGGTAAATTAAAAACTTTCTAGAAATTATTGCATGAAAATTGGCAATTTGCCAAAATTGACTTTTTTTAGTCATATTCAATGAAATTTTTCACCATTTTGACAACTGATATATTTGTAACCATGTATCATTAAATAAACTATATATTCTAAGGTTTTATGAGAATAAAAAAAATTATGGGTAAATCAAAAACTTTCTAGAAATTATTGCATGAAAACTGGCAATTTGCCAAAATTGACTTTTTTAGTCATATTTCAATTAAATTTTTCACCATTTTGACAACTGATATATTTGTAACCATGTATCTTTAAATAAACTATATATTCTAAGGTTTTATGAGAATAAAAAAAAAATTATGGGTAAATGTACAGCTTTCTAGAAATTATATGACCCTTCCCCCCCCCATTAATTACAAATAACAGAGAAGATCATCTAAGAACATGTTTTATCAAACTGAACAAATTGTTATGTTATATGAATATACATCAAGTATTTAAATTTCTTTTTAATAATTAAATAGAACTTCTTCAATTAACTAAGAGACAGGTAAATTAATATGTTGCCATGGAAACAAATCAGGCTTCTAGTTACTTTATTCTAAATATGAAATAAAACAAGTGAGTTTCCAACAATTCTTAAAAATCTTTTGTTGGCCTGTAATTGTTTCCAATCCCTTTGATTTATTCACTAAAATATGTTCAAATTCAAAACAATTGTTTATTTTTTTTAAAATGTATAATTTAAGTAAAAAGGCAAACTCATATTTAATAAATGATATGAAAGTATCTAATGAAAATATAAAAGTAAGTCAGACAATATAATGTCAAAACAAGTTGGCAAGACCATCTTGATTATAATGTTTTTTTGCCCTCTCCAACTCATGGTAAAATTATTAAGTCAGAGGGTAGGTTGAAAAATCTTTTCCCAGAAAATTTCAAAATATTTGTTGACAAGATAAGATGGATAAAAAGAAAAAAAAATCATCCTGTCTTGCAATGTAAAAAAAAAAGTTTTGAATTTTAGTCATTCTATTCGGGGAAGGCAAACAAATTTTTTTAATGGCCTTATATGCTAAATATTGTGGAATTAATTCTTAGTATCACATTGCTTATCAGCATATTCAGATGATCAGTTATACTATTATGTTCTTTTAATGGGTATAAATATTTTTAACCATTTGACCCTGACCTTAGACATTGACTGACTTAAAAAAAACTTTAACCTTAACCTCAACTTTTGAAGTTAGACTAGATTTTCATATTTCACAGGTGTTTTCCTTGTGACAGGACCATTCTTGGGATACCTTGTGGGAGTCGTGGCATAAGTTGCCATGTATGGGGGAATCAGTGTTTCACAATTAATCTTGTTCTCAGTTTTGTTAAAATGTATTCATATTCTAATCATACATGACATACTGTGTGAAGCCTGCCAGTATAAAACTATAGATGTGTGAGTCCATGTGGGGGTATATAATAAATCAGTATACCACCTCTCCTGCAGAGTGGGGATATAAAAAGGGAAGAAACTGCTTCTTTTCATAATACTGCTTTTATAGAAAAGAAGTAAACATGACATTGGAATGTATGCTCCACTTAAACAGTGACATTTTTTAAAAATACAAGCAATCAATTTAGAATCAATTTAGAATACACATATTCTCTAAGGAAAACAGATGCTCTGCTTAAAAAAAATTCTGCTAAAATTTGTTCCTCCATATTCTCTCATTTGATGTCAGCTTGGTTTCCTCAAATTACATCACATTTCTTTATGTCCTTTCATAAGTTTGAAAAATAGCTCAGCCTTGCAATTTGCTGTGGATTTTAGTAATGATTTTTCGAAAACCCTCTCTATATCCTTCTTGCACCAGTGACAACTTTTACTGGATCTTCTTTTCTTTCTGTTCTTATTCCTGCTTTCTATTTTTCATGTAAACATTACTTCCTGTCCACTGTGATTTTTTTTTTTGGGGGGGGGGGGCTGTGTGTCCTCTGCTCTGGTCATTTCTATCTGTTCACATGAAAATAAAAAAAAAAATACCATTAATTTTTGGTCAGTTTGGATAAAAATTCATCAAAAATTATTTTAAAAACTTAAAACTGGAATCTTAAAATTTCGCTATATATAAAACATGTGCATTTTCAACCTCTAAACATTATTATCTCCCTTTATGCATTGTCAAGGCAATCATGTCTAAAGTCACCATGAATACATGTAACTTAATATACAATACATGTACCTGTCTGGTCTCCTTGCTAGAGGATCTGTAATCTTGAGAATCTTCATTAGGAAAATCTTGCAAGGGCTGCAATGATCTGTGAATTTAAATTATTTTTTAATTTGAAAGTTTGGGTTAAAATCCTAAACATCAAATATATATTACATGTACCTGATATTTAAATGTTATCCTGAACATTTTCTGAATCATGAGGAATGATTTGTAAAGGAGGGGATTCAATGTTAATAATTGTCATCAAGCATTTTTTTTTTTTCAATTTACACTGTCACAGTTAAAGCTTTTCTGCGGTTTGGACAAATTGCCGGAGATCTAGAGTAGAAATGAATTTGACAACAATTAATTTTTAAAGTGGTAAATGAAATGTTATTATATCATGAATTAATTGTAATAAAAACATACGTGTTTTATAGATACTACATGTAATGTAGTATAATTCATTTTGTTCTTTAATGTGACTATTTTTAATTTGTACAATATGTCCTTGACATGTAAAGTACACAGCATCAGAATGATCTCATATGTACAGATCAATATTGTAAAACTAAAACTATTCAAAAATGTGTGTAAGATTGATATGCCTACAATATATAGCTGAAAAACAGTGATCAGTAAAATAAAATTACGAGACAGAAAGCTGCATCTTAGAAAAGTCAATAAAGAGTGCTTCATGACAATTAACTAATTCATAGGAACTCCAAGTACAAATGAAATCGATTTGTCACATTCTTACACCCTTGGATAGATTTCTTTACCTACTTTACAATGCATTACCTTGCAGAGCAAATAACTTAATTGTATCAAGGTCTCAAAAATGATTTCACATAGTATGACAAAGTATATGTACTTAGATCTAGAACACTATTAGCGGCTGTAAATCTGCATGTTTGCATACACATGTACTGAGTTAATTTTCATAATTTTACACTTTACTTACATTTTTTTTATCAATTCTTTCAAATATTCTACGGTCCTCATATTGCTTAAAATTTCAAAAAATCTAACCCATTATTCAGTTATCATTGTCAAAATCAAAGGTTTAATATTTTCGTGGTTTGATTACTACAAATCCTGTTTGTTAAAATAGAATGGACACAAACATATTATCACTTGGAATCATAAATTTATTCAAACAATTTTCTTCAAATATACTGAATTTTATAGAAAATAAAATACCGGTACTATTTTTCAGTAGTATATGATTCAATGTCATGTACATGTAATATGTGCAACTGTGCATCCAAGTTTTCATGGTTTTGTTTGTTTGTTTTTATTGTCTTATATTTCAGTAGACAGTCAGTTACCAGGTACATGAGACAACTGAACAGAATTATAAATTAAAAAAATACTTACACATTGCAATGGGGATTAGTCGGGGACTACCACACCAGTACATGTATCTCTCGATCTCTATTTCAAAGACATCTTGAAGGGAATAGTTAAAATCTTCTCGGCCTTCGCCCCATACCACCCTGATTTCCTCATATTTTCCTTTCTACGAGTAGCTATATGTGTAATACTCATCATGTCCAGATCAACCCTTTGGCTTTTCTTAAAGATCATTCCTACTTTGTTAACTATTTTTCATCAAATTCTGAGTCTCTTGAGGTAGAATTTTCCTGAACAAGATGTTTCAAAACAAGAAGAAAAAATGCAGATTTTATTGTCTGCCATCTTGTTTACATATTCTTCAAGGTATCACACCGGTAATTGACCAATCAAAATGAACTTAGTCAAATGTAGGTCCATACATATAAAATTATTTTTCTTTTCTTTTGAGGCGTTTTTCTATTTTCTTCCAAGCCATTTTTACAACTTTGGTACCTGTGCCTAGTAAATTTTATGTACTTTGTGAATAAATAAAGGTTTTTGACAGGAACTATTTTTTTCAGGGCATGGGAGGCTACTTCCTGTGATGCACTCGAGGTGTTT